CTTGTTTGCCCCTGCCCTTCCCCGCGATGTGGGCGTTATTCAGCTCCATGTGCAGGTTCCCTCCCTTTCGGCGGCGCTCGTTGCGGAGGACTTGCGCGCCCGGGGCCTTTTGAGTTCAGCCTTGCGGTTCTTTTCCCTCCTGGAGCTGTCTTCGGATTGGCTCATGGAGGATGTGGGGACGCTTGGGTCCGTCCCGGGGTCCGGCACCTTGTCCTCGGCTGCGCATTCGTCGGCTGCCTTATTGAAGCTGTTCACGCCGATTTTGCGGGATGTGGTTTCCCTGTTTTATGCTTCCCGTCTCGCATGTCGGCAGGCGGTGCTGGGTTCCTCCATGGAATCTGCTTGGGCTCTGGCTCTTAGGCGTTCTTCACCTTTTTGTCCTCTCCTGTTTGCGGAGTCGGCCGTGGCGCAGTTTATTCAGGCTGCGTCGGCGGCTTGTCGTCCGATGTCGGACTTGTTGGTTTTCCGGGGGTCCCGGGGTGGGTCTTCCCGGAAAGGTCGTGCCAGGGCTCGGGGTTCCTCTTGTCGTGGTAGGCCTCTGGTGTCAGGTTCGGGGTTGGCTCCTCCTGCGGACCCTCCCTCGTCTGGTCGGCGCGGAGTTCGCGCTGTGCGGGGTTCTGGGTCTCGTAAGGGTCGCCGGCCCTTTCGCGGTTTGCCCCCTTGACAGGGCGATGGGGGGGCGGCTTGCACTGTTCGCCCGCGCCTGGTCCCACGATTCGTGGGCCTTTCGGGTCATGTCTCGCGGCCTGCAGTGGCGTTGGGTGGCCCCTCCCCCCTTTGGGGGGTCGGGGCTGGCAGGGCAGGTTTCTTCCCCTGCGCTCTGTCGAGTCGTCTTGGAGTGGGTACGCTTGGGCGTCGTCGAAACGACGTCGTCCCTCAGATGGGTTTCCCGTCTGTTTCCGGTTCCGAAACGGGACTGCGCGGACCTGCGGTTCATTCTGGACTTGTCCCGTCTGAACCCCTGGGTTCATTGCCCCTCCTTTCGGATGACTACGCTGTCTCAGGTTCGGCTCCTCTTGGAGCCGGGAGCTTGGATGGTGTCCCTGGACCTCCGGGACGCTTATTGGCATGTCCCGATTCATCCGCGGTTCAGGGACTGGCTCGGTTTTGTTGTGGGGCGTCTGAGTTACCGCTTTCGTTGTCTCCCGTTCGGGTTGAACCTGGCATCTCGCGTGTTCACACGCCTTACACGGGTTGTGGTGGCTCGTTTGCGTCTCCTAGGTGTTCGGGTGTTGGCCTACCTCGACGACTGGCTGGTTTGGGCTCCCAGCCAGTCAGCTTGCTTGCTAGCCAGGGATTTGGTTGTTTCCCAGCTCGCCGGGTTCGGGTTCTTGGTGAACTGGAGGAAGTCCCATCTGGTTCCCTCTCAGGTTCGGACTTGGCTGGGTCTCGTTTGGGACTCTCGAACCGCCTCCTTGTCTCTCCCTCCGGAGTCTCTCCTGCGGCTGTGGTCCCGCCTTCGTCTGTTTCTGGAGGGCCCTCGGGTCACCCGGCGGTTGCTCGAGGGGCTGTGCGGGAGCCTGAACTTCGCGATGGTGGTCTACCCGCCGGGTCGGGTTTGGCTTCGACGGCTGTTCTGGTTCCTTCGGGGTTCCCCCTTCCGCCTCTCTCGCGATCACAGAGTTCGACCCCCGGGGGCCTTGTGTCGGTTGCTGCGTCATCGGCTTCCTCTTTGGGTTTTTCGGGGTTCAGTGCCTTGGCGCCTACCCGAGCCCTTGCTCGATGTGTATACGGATGCGTCGTCTCTCGGCTGGGGTTTTGTGACCAGTGCTCACCAGGCCGGCCAGGGGCGTTGGGATCCGTCTTTCCGTCGAGCTCACAGCACGGTGCGGGAGTTCGCGGCAGTGTGGTTTGCTCTGGGGAGGATTCGGGTGGCCCGCGGATCGACGATTCGGCTCCATTCGGACTGCTCTCCGGTGGTTCATTGCCTGAACCGCGGGGGTTCGATGCTGTCCTTGTCTCTTTGGGGTTGGTCGCTTCGGGTGACTCGTCTGCTGAGTTCTCGGAGGTTGGTCGCTTCGGGTGACTCGTCTGCTGAGTTCTCGGGGTTTGGCTCTCCTGGCGGTTCACGTACGGGGCGTGTCCAACGTCTTGGCCGACGCCCTGTCTCGCTTCGTTCCCCTCGCCACGGAGTGGACGGTCGACGACGAGTCCTTCCGTTGGCTTTGCCAGACGTTCGGGCGCCCCGAAGTGGACCTCTTCGCGTCGGCGTGGTCGCAGCGTTTTCCCGTTTATGCGGCGCCCTTCCCCGATCGCGAGGCCGTCGGGGTCGATGCCTTTCGGCTAGACTGGTCGAGGTGGGGGTTCCTGTACCTCTTTCCCCGGTTCGGCTGTTGCTCTAGGTCCTGACTCGCTTGGAGACTTACCAGGGGAGAGTTGTCCTTCTGGCCCCTTGTTAGCCGGCCCAGCCTTGGTTTCAGGCGCTGGTTGCTCGGTGTCCGAACCCGAGGGTTTTCCCGCGGCTCCGCCTCTTTCAGCAGATCGGGCCGGTACGTCACGTGGCTGGTTCGATCTTCTCCTCGAGTCTTCGCGTATGGTTTTTTTGACTCGAGTCTATCATCATCTCTATGGTGATCAGGTGGCCTCCTTGTTGGTGTCCCACCTGAGGGCTTCTTCTCGGCGGCAGTATGAAGTTTCCTGGCGGTCCTTCCGTTTCTTTTTGCGTCTTCGTCGTGTTAGTTCCTTGTCTGTTCGGGTGGTCTTGTCCTTCCTCTCGTGGTTGTTTCAGGACCGTCATCTTATGCCAAACACTGTCGCTTCGTATCGTGCGGCGCTGGCGGAGCCGCTTCAGCTTGCTTTCGGTATCGATGTTACGTCTGCGCCGTTTCGCAAGCTGTCTCGTGCATTGTTTCACCTCCGGCCTCCTCATGCGTCGCCTGAGCCGTCCTGGTCTTTGGACAGAGTGCTCGCTTTCCTTTCATCTCCTCGTTTCGTTGTGGCCCCTTCGGTCCAGGATTGTTTTTCCAAGGCACTTTTCTTGTTGGCTTTGGCCTCTGGGGGTCGGGTAGGGGAGCTTCATGCTCTCCTCCGGTGCAGGGGTTTCTGCTCTTTTGGTCGTGGTGATTGTTTTGTTCGTTTGCAGCCGTCTCCTTCTTTTCTGGTGAAGAATGAGACTGCTGCGTTCCGGAGGGGTCCATGGGTAGTTGATGCTTGGTTGGTCAGGCCGGGGGTGCATCATGTTTTGTGTCCGGTTGCGGCGCTTCGCCGTTATTTGCGCGCCACAGCTTCTGTGTCCGGGGACGTGCTGTGGGTTGATCCGGTTTCCCTTCTTCCCTGTTCGTGGGTTCGGGTCTCTCAGGTCGTCCGCAGGGTTATTAAGTCCAGCCAGCCTGCGGTCTATCCCCGTGCCCATGACATTCGTAAGTTCGCGGCTCTTGCTGCCGTCTTTAGGAATATGTCTTCGTCTGATATTCGGGCGCGGGGATTTTGGCGGTCAAACAGGGTCCTGGCTGCTCGTTACCTTGTGAATGTCCCTGGGCCTCGTCGGGCCTGTGTTGCTTTGGGTCGGCGGTTGCAGCCAGTTGTCTCGGCTTCAAGTTGAGGAGTGAGCGACGACCGCCTCCCGGGTAAGTCCCTCTTTTTCTGTCTGTGGGTAGTTAGCTCTGGGGAGCCGACGGGGCTCCCCCCAGAAAACCAGCGTTGAATGTAATGAAACGCCATTTTCTGGGTGAGTCCCGGAGGCTCCCCGGCATCCCTCCCTCCCTCCCGTCGGCGGTGTTTCGCGTTTTTGACATCCAGCCTCAAGAACTGAGGTGTGGGTAGCCGGCGCTGGGGGTCTGGGGCTCCCCCTTTCCCCTCCCGGGGAGGGAGGAGCTGCGCAGACAGCGGCGCGGCGGCGTGTGACGTCACACTAGTTTGCTTGTTTTCGGTTGGGGAGTTCTATCCACTAGTTCGGTTTTTGGTAGCAATTTTAACCAGAATAGAGGTTTGTTTTGAGGCGCTTACCTTTCTGGGTGCCTGTTCCAGTCGATGGCAGACATAGAATGCTTCCAACCACACGGGGGCTTCTATAGGCCATTGCTCCCCTTGCCTCTCTGAGGGGGCCCGATTCTGGCCGTGGTCCCCGGTAGGACTAAGAAATCCATACACATGACTGATGCCAAAGTCTGACATTAGCATATCAGCCTGGGATAGCTCCGGGGAGCCTCCGGGACTCACCCAGAAAATGGCGTTTCATTACATTCAACCCTAGTTTTTTACAAAGGTTGGTGGACTTATAGATAGAGCTAGTACATACAATGCCTAAAGCCACTATTACGCAAAGCGTTTCGGGCGTTAAATGACTAAAGCTTAATACTAATTGAGCATAAAGAGTAAAATGAAAACATGAAATGAAAACATAGCTGAAAAAGCAGCACAAATACAATTCTGTCGACAAACAGCGCTCTTTAAAAAACAAAACAGACATTGGTTGACAATAGAGGGGTAAGGTAGGTTACAGGGAATTTATTAGGTATAGCTTCGTTTTTATCTTAAACTGGTTGAGAGAGGTACAGTCTTTAACATGGTTGGGAAGGTCATTCCACAATCTGGGTCCCTTGATTTGTAGAGCATTTCTAGTTTGATTAAGTCGTACTCTAGGAATATCAAAACTGTATTTATTTCTGGTGTGGTGCTCATGGGTTCTGTTACAACCTTCTATGAAGCTTTTGAGGTCAGGATTGGCATTACAGTTTAGCGTTTTATATATGTATAATACACATGAGAGAATGTGCAGTGACTTAATGTCTAACATATTCAGAGATTTGAGTAGGGGTACCGAGTGATGTCTGGGGCCAGAGTTGGATATTGTCCTAATAGCAGCTTTGTGTTGAGTAATTAGAGGACGTAAATGAATTTGGGTAGTAGAGCCCCAAGCACAAATACCATAGTTGAGATATGGATAGATAAGGGAGTAATAGAGTAACATTAGCCCGATAAGCTCCAGCGAGCCTACGGGGCTCACCCAGAAAATAGCGTTTCATTACATTCAACGCTGGTTTTTTGTATAATACTTACAGGGTGTTCCTCAAGTGAGTCTGAACAACTTACTTCGTGGACTTCCTCGCCTGCTTTCTGACAGTTCATTTTCAAAAATTATTTTACCACTTCAGCATCAAATGTCAGTAACACTTCCTACGTCTTTTGATGATCTATCCTCCCACAATCCATATCCACGGTAAGTTGTGTGTGTTTATATCAAGTGTTTTTTGTAAACTACTCATTCACTCCGTTAGGCATCATCCAACTCTGTTCTAGATATTGTATTACTCAAGTCCAGCATGATCAGTGTGATCATACAATGCCTAAAGTGATATGATATGTGACCTCTCCGTGAGGTCACATATCTAGAACAGAGGTAAATTTCCTTACAAACAGATCACGAGTAACAGTAAACAAAAAGCTGTAATTGTAGATATATTAAGCTCTGTACCGCCAAGATAATGTTCTTGGACTTCTCATATTTTTCATCTTCATGTGAGATAGACAAAATACAAATCTCAGCTTTGTACCTTCCTTTGCACATGATACTAAAATCTACTAAAATCTGCATGTTATTGCCTCAGTAGAAGGCACTGAAAAATTACGAACATAAGTATTCTTTCAATGGATAACAGGAAATAATATATTGGTCAGTAATAAATTTCAGATTCTACAATATGCAAAAAATTAAGACCTTAACCACTGCACTGTGCAGAGCGCCTTAACACTTTCGCACACCACGAGCACAAGATCTGCACTACCCCGGGTGGGCCTCGGCGTTTCACGGGAGCGCGCGGTAATTCTGAAGAGTGTATACTCTTTTCAACTTTGTCACCTCAATTCTCGTCCAAGGTTTTTCAATTTGGTATCATTGTGTTCACAATAGAATTCTCTACACAACTAAAGACATTTAAAATCCAAAAACCCGGCGTACCATCCACAACAAACAGAGAAAATGAGTGCGTGCTACCCGGGAGCGCATAAGAGCGATAAAATGTGTACACTCTCTTCACTTTGGACATCTCAATTCTCATCCTAGGTCTTTCATTTTGATAACATTGTGTTCGCAATAGAATTCCCTACAGGAGTATATGCAAATATAAAGTCCAAAAGCCAGGCGTACCACCCACAGCAAACAGAGAAAGTGACGGAGCCTAATCCCAGTGATCGCTAATAAAATGAGTGTACTGTTTTCAACTTTGTTACTTCAATTCTGGTCCTAGGTCTTTCATTTTAGTATCAATGTATTCACAATGAAATTCCCTACAAGAGTATACGCATATAATATCCAATACCGCGGCGTGCCTCTTTCGAAGTCGCCGACGCAATGCTGCGTCGTTACCGGAAATGGGTCTACTAAAAAAACGACGCAGTGCTGAGTCGTTACCAAGCGAAAGTGTTAAGGTGCTCTGCGCAGTGCAGTGTGTAAATATTGCGTCAGCCAGAAAAAATGAGAGGATGGTTTACGGGAACTTTCAAATCCAGAGATCCCATCACAATGGTTGTACTATTCAAGACACTTGTGCTGTCCCATCTTGAGTACCATGCAGTACTCACTTTCCCCCTCAGAGCAGGAGAGATTACGGAAATAGAGGGAGTTCAGGGAACATGTACAGCATACATAGACGCAATAAAGCACCTAAATTATTGGGATCGTCTCAAAGCTCTCCAAATGTACTCGCTAGAAAGGAGACGAGAGAGATATCAAATAATATACACGGGAAAAATACTGGAGGGCCAGGTCCCAAATCTACACGGTAAAATAACTTATTGAAATGAACGATATGGAAGAAAATGGAAAATAGAACCAGTGAAGATCATGGGTGCCATAAGCATAATCGGAGACGCTGAATAAACATCAGAGATACACTACACTACACTACACTACACTACACTTCACTACTCTACACGGATCCTTGAACCCTCATCACGGCCCGTGTGGATTTGGTCTTCAGAGGTACACAGTTGTTCAACATCGTCCCAGCGAGTATAAAAAATGTTGCCAGAAAAACTGTGGACATCTTCAAGAAAAAACCAGTGTTGATTGTAATGAAATGCCATTTTCTGGGTGTGAGACCCGAAGGCTCTCCGTAGCTATCCAGGGTGATATGGATATATTAGCTATCTGGCATCAGTCAATGTGCATGGAGTTCTTGCCTACCGGGGACCATAAGCCAGAACCTGGCCCCCTCAGAGAGGCACGAGGAGCAATAGCCTATAGAATACCCCATGTGGTTTGAAGCATTCTGTGTCTTCTATCGACTGGGTATGCCACCCAGAAAGGTGGCATACCCATACCCTTGTTTTGTGCATACGCCCCATAACAAACTCCTATTCTGGTGAAAATATTGCTAAACGAACAAACCTACCACCAAGACCAATAGAGCAGATAACCCCTGCACCAGAGAAGAGCTTGAAGCTCCCTGACCCGACCCCCAGAGGCCAACGCCAACAGGGAAAAAGAGCTTAAGAAAAACAATTTGGACCGAAAGGGCCACTACAAACTGAGGAGAAGAGAGAAAAGAGCACCATGTCCAACGACCAGGACATCTCGGGTGGCGCATGTGCAGGCCGAATGTGAAACAACGCACGAGACAACTTGCAGAACGGAGCAAAAGTACCATCAACACGAAACGCAAGCTGTAGTGGCTCCGCCTTCACCGCACAATACAAAGCTACAGAATTCGGCAGAAGATGACGGTCCTGAAACAACCACGAAAGGTAGGATAAGACAACCCAATTATAGACCGAAGTACACCTATGCAGAGATCGGAAAAACGGAAGGACTGCCATGCAACTTCATACTGCTGCCAAGATGAAGCAAGCAGGTGGGAACCAGCAAAGAAGCCACCTGTACCCCATACAGGTAGATGATAGACACGAGTCAGAAAACCCAGATACAAAGACTCGAGGAGAAGAACGAACCAGCCACGTACCAGGCTGGACCAATCGGCTGAAAAAGGTGGAGCCGCGGGAAGACCCTCGGGTTCGGACCGAGCAAGCAGCGCCTAAACCAAGACTGGACCAGCCACCAAGGAGCCATCCGGAATGACTGCCACATAGCAGCGAACTCCCGCACCGTGACGTGAGCCCGACGGAAGAACAGACCCCACCGTCCCTGGCTGGCCTGGTGAGCACTGGTCACAAAGCCCCAGCCCAGAGATGACGCATCCGTGAACACATCGAGCGAGGGCTCGGATAGGCGCCAAGGCACTGAATCTCAAAAAGGCCGAAGAGGAATCGGGCGACGCAGCAACCGACGCAAAACCCCCGGAGTCTGAACCCAGCGGTTGCAAGAGAGGCAGAAGGAACGTCTCCAAAGGAACCAGAACAGCCGACGAAGCCAAACCCGACCCAGCAGGTAGACCATCATGGCAAAGTCCAGGCTCTCACACAAAACCCCCTAGCAACCGCCACGTGACCCGGGAGCCCTCCAAAAACAGGCGAAGGTGGGAATGCAGCAGAAGCAGAGCCGCCGGAGGAAAAGACAAGGAAGCGTCCGAATGTCTCACACAAGACCCAGCGAGGACCGAACCTGAGAGAGAACCAGATGGGACATCTGCCAGTCCTCCAGGAACCCGATTTCGGCGAGCTGGGAAGAACCAGATTCCCGGCAAGCAGAGACGTGGACTGGCTGGGAGCCCACACCAGCCTGTCGTCGAGGAGGTCAGGACCCAAACACCTAACAGATGCAGGCAGGCCATCACGATCTGAGTGAGGGGGTGTGAAAATGCGAGGTGCCAGATGCAAACCGAATCTGGCACCACTGGCCTACCACGACAGGAAGAACCCTGAGCCCTGGCATGACCCTGCAGGGAAGGCCCCCCATGAGCACTCCCGAGGACTAATAAATCCAACATAAGACGACAACGAGCCGAAGCTGCCTGCAGATACTACACAACCACAGACTCAGCAAATAGCAACAGACAAAAGGGCGAACACAGCCGAAGAACCAGGGCCTAAGTGGATTCCAAGGAAGAAGCGAGCACCACCTGCCGACACACGCGTTGAGAATAAAAAAAATGCGAAACCTCATCCCTCAGAAGCAGCGCGAACAGTGCAGACAGTGCACGCACCGCCGAGGGAAACCCACCAGACCCAGAGGCGGCCTTAAGCACCATTCACCTCAAGCTAGTCCAAGGATGGCACAAGGAGGGAGAAGAAACGCAGGGCTGAAGCCAACACGCCCCGCATGCGCAATTCCTCCGCGATTAAGCAGTCGAAGGCAAGGAACCTGCACATGAAGCTGCATCACTCCAACATCCCGCCGAGGTCAGGGGTGAACAAGCATGCAAAGAAATGCTCAAATTCGGCCCCCCCCCCCCCTGTCCAGAAGAACTTGCAATGCTGTCTGAGCCTCCCTCCACTCAAGCGTGCGGGATCGACAGAACGTATGCCAAGCCTCCAATGAGAAGAGAGGCCAGTCTGCTAACCAGGACAACCCTGGAACTTCATAACGACCCCAGTAAGGACACAAAAGATCCATACATGAGGGATTGAGGATCCAGTACAAAAACATAATCTGGAATGCGCAGATGGTAAGCCGCCAGGGGCCAGATTCACGAAAGCACTTACGCAAGCACTTATGAACGTGTACATCTTTCCTCAATCTTAGACGGCTTTGGTTACATTTATTAAACAGTTTACAAGCATGAAAACTTCCCATTCAACTGTTGTTATTGTTATAAACAGCCTCCTGGTGCTTCGGAGCTCATTAACTGTTTAATAATTGGAAACAAAGCTGCCAAAGATTGAGAAAAGATGTACAGGTTCGTAAGTGCTTGCGTAAGTGCTTTCGTGAATCTGGTCCCTGGGCTACCCGCACCACATAGAAAGGGACACGGGATGTCAAAAACTTCCGGAAGAACAAGACCAAAAAACCCACGGGACCACAGAACTGAACCCAGGAAGGGGTAGACGCCCAACCCAATTCGTACGAGAAAGGAGCGAAAGAGAATCCCCTGCCTCGTAACACCAAGCCCCGCTCCGAGGAAACAAAATCCCAGGCGGGGTCCAATGAAGCCCTAAGGCCCCCAAGTCAATCCCTCCCTCACCCCGCGAACCTCACCCAAAGGATGCGGGGCTGAGCCATCCTCCAAACCTCCCCGCCTCTAAAGAAAAGGCAGTAGCAGCTGAAAAAGCAGGAATGAAAGGGGGTCTCTGGTCACACCCAGAAGCTCCGGCTGGAGGACCCGGCTCGAATACCTCCACCACCACCCCGGAAGGAGACTTCCCCAAGACCTCCCGAGTCTCAACTCCAGCTAGACCCTGCCCCAACTCCGGGGAGGGGCGAACGGAACCAAGGCCAAAGCGACTCCCACCCCCAAGTCCAGAACCCCAGTGGGGTTCCCAAACAAATCCCCAGAACCACAATGGGGCAGTCTTGGGGCATTCAAGAAAGCAGGGAACCTATCATGTTGCAGCATCCTAAGCCTAGCATGCAACACCACACCTGCCTGCACCCTCAAATCATGAACAGAAGCTAGGGTGAACTGGAGGAAGTTCGTATAACAACGTCGCATGACTCTGGGTCAAAAGAAGCACTGACCCGACAGGCAGCACGACAGAGACACCACTGGTGACTCACCCAGAGACAAGGGGACAGCAAACATCCGCCTTGCACAAGGCGAGAGGGGACTCAGGGGTCGTATCCATCGGACCACAGCCCCCACGAGGTTTCCCAAGTTCCTTAGTCCTGGTAGTCCACTAAGGGAAGCCCAGGCAGGGTACAGCTAACTGACGCCCAAAACTACCAAGCAAACTTCTAAAACCTGCACCCTCGGGACATGTACACTCACCGGAGCCAAGTGGGGAGTCACCAAGAACAAAAGGGTACAGCCAAACAAGAGGCAGACCCTCCACTAGTCAGAGAAAAAAAAAAGAAAGTATAAACCCCACAAGAGGACAACGTGCCCAGGTGGGACAGAGCCAGCCTCTATGAGAGGTGACAACTAGCTACGCTGTACCCTGCGTCCCTACCAGTGACGATAACCCCCTACCCAGAGGTAAACAAAAATATACAAAACCCTAGCTGACAAGGGCAGTCAATCATCAAGCAGCAAAAGACACATCGGAGGTAGACCCCAAGGTGACTTGTGGAAGGTGGCCCCATGCCCCAAGGGCAATACTTACAGGGCACCTAGGGAAGGAAACCCTAGGCGCATGCAGCCCAAGTACTGAAGAGTATGATTCCTTGCTTGCTCACCAACTGTAGACATAACTGCACCACAAGGCACAGAAACTGAGACAAAATCTGGAGCCAGAGGCACATGACCTGCCAGTCTCACATCAGCCAAGAACAGAAGGGTGGATCACCGCTTCAAGGGTTTGGGGCTCCCCTTTCCCCCTCCCGGGGAGGGGGAGGTTGCACAGACAGTGGCGCAGCAACGTGATGACGTCATGCTCGTTTGCTAATTTCATTTGAGGAGTTCTGTCCACTCGTTCGGCTTTCGGTAGCAATATTTTCACCAGAATACGGATTTGTTTTGGGGTGCCTACCTTTCTGGGTGCCATACCCGGTCAGTGACACATAGAATGCTTCCAACTACACGTGGGTTTCTATAGGCCATTACTCCTCATGCTTCTCTTAGGGGGCCAGGTTCTGGCTCATGGTCCCTGGTAGGCAAGAATTCCATGCACTTTGATGCTAGAAAACTAATATGCCATTTCAGCCTGGATAACTCCAGAGAGCCAATGGGGCTCCCCCCAGAAGCAACAGCCTGTTGGACCAAGCTCTCACAAGTTAAGCCTGGCCTTGGGCCAGGCCATTCCCCTCCTTCCTCCCCTCCCACAAACAAATGGGAAAGGTGGGGTGAACAAGCATGTGCTAATTTGGAGAGATTTCAATAGCTTGTTGACATAGATGGAGAAGTTCTTTTGGCATTACTTGAGGTTGCAGCTTCTGTTCAAGCCAACAGTGGTCTGTGTTGTCTCGATGCAATCGTGATGCAACAAGACAAAACTTTCCCGGTGGTGACATAAATAAATAATAAATGCCACGTCTCCTTGTGCCTCTGTGACGGGGCCAGCTTCTGGTGCTCCAGTAAGCCTATGGAATTCCACAGCTGATGCAACCTAGTAGTTGCCACACTATCAGGGATAGTAGCCTTAGGGAGTCACAAGGGGGCTTCTCCGAGAAAAAACAAATCAGATTTTTTTTCTTGTGCATGAGAGACAATGCATCATTATACCTTGCAACGTTAGAGGATTAACACAAAATTGTTTGATTTTGTACTTTATTAATCTCATCAAAATCTTTTCATATTTTTATTGAATAAAATAAAAAATTGACATTACTGTATGTATTTAGTTAAGGAGACCTTAATCATGATCATTATTGAGCTGGTTATTATGTTATATTTGATATTTACAGGGAAGCAGTTTATTTGTGTAGTATAGAGGACCATGTTGAGATCATGCAATCCTTGCAACTTCCCAAGAAGATTACATTGCGTGGCTCTAATGGCAAACATTATATCATGATGTGCAAGCCGAAGGTAAGGATCTTTGCTGTTCTATAGTGTGTATCTAAAGCTATTTTATTTTTAATGCATAAAAGGATCTCTTTAATTCTTCATTTAATATATGAAACTTGTTTACCACTTTGCATAAATACCTCCTTTCTGAGCTGCTCTATATGGTTAGAATTTCAGTGTCTCAGAACAGGATTGTGCTACAGCCAGGCATGATGACTCAAGGACCAGTGCCACATGAAACTTTTCAAATAATCCCTGTATGATCAGTAGTCATTGGAGAATGCTCATTCTTGCCCAATATTATTAACAAAAGTTAAATTATTAAAGCTCAATGCCTTTCTGAACTCTACCATGGCATCAACAGGTTAATGGCAAATTAATTCGCTTACTAATGGTCTGTTGGCTTGCTCGGTTGTTGTTGCCTTAATGTAACCTTAGTTAATGTAATTAACTTTCCAATTTCATGTTAGCATTTGTACACTTGCCATTGCACATTGCCTTCAACCGAGCTACATCTATTAGAGGACGAAGAGGAGACGCACAGCCGGGGACACCACCCTAAGCCACACAGAAGTGCTGTGGCCCAGGAACATTTACAAGATACCAGCACCAGAACCCTGTATAACCTCTAAAACTCCCATGCTCAATATTCAACACGGGACATATTTGCAAACACTGTCAACAGCAGCATATGTCCTGATATCATGGCCATGAGAGTAGACAGTAGGCTAGCTAGACTTAATAACACTGCTGACAACCTAAGAAAGACGAGCCTTGGAACAGGGGGAGCAAGGTAATAGGCTCAACCCACAAGGCATCCACTGAGGCAAAATCACTGGCACGAAGGTAGTGGCAGAAAGCTGCCACCGGACACCACACATGATGCACCCTCAGCCGAACCAACTAGGCATCAATGACTAAAGGATCGCTCTGGAAGCGACTGACTCATTCTTCACCAGAAAAAAAGGAGCCAGCTGCAACAAACCAACCAACCACCAACACCAAAAGTACAAAACCCCCACCTCTGGAGAGCATGACACTGAACCACCTGACTGACAACCTGTCAAAACTCTTAAGTTGGTTTTGACATCATGACTTTCTGGTTGTCTTTCCCAATGGTGACATAAATATGTCACTGCGTCCTCTGCCTCTGTGAGAGAATCCAGGTTCTGGCATTGGTCCCCGGTAAGCCTATAGTACTTCATGGCAGATGTAACCTAGTATGTAGATGGTACTATATAAGTATAGCCCAGTGAACTACTGGGCTCACCCAGAGATTGTTGTTTCATTATGCTGAACGCTGATTTTCTGGGGGGAGCCCCTACAGCTTCCCGGAGCTATCCAGACTGATAGGGATAGTTCTAACGTTTGGCATCAGTCGATGTGGGTGGAGTTCTAGGCCTACCGGGTTATCTTGAGATGATTTCGGGGCTTTTAGTGTCCCCGCGGCCCGGTCCTCGACCAGGCCTCCACCCCCAGGAAGCAGCCCGTGACAGCTGACTAACTCCCAGGTACCTATTTACTGCTAGGTAACAGGGGCATTCAGGGTGAAAAAAACTTTGCCCATTTGTTTCTGCCTCGTGCGGGAATCGAACCCACGCCACAGAATTACGAGTCCTGCGCGCTCTCCACCAGGCTACGAGGCCCCTAACCCGGGGACCACGGCCAGAACCTGGTCTCCTCAGAGAGGCACGAGGAGCAATGGCTTATAGGAATGCACGTGTTATTTTGGAGCACTCTATATCTGCCATCGACCGGGATAGGCACCCAGAAAGGTAAGCGCCTCAAAGCAAACCCGTATTCTGGTGAAACCAACGAAAATAACGAAACAAGTGGACAGAACTTCCCCAAGGGAAAACTAACAAGCATGTCACATGAGCCATGCAGCATGTCTGCACAGCTCTCCCCTCCCCGGGTGGGGGGAAGGGGGAGCCCCAGACCCCTGCACCAGCGATCCACACCTTCAGTTCCTCAGCTGATGGGATAAGGTTTAGTCATTGTGGCTCCAGCTCCAGATTCTCTTGGGTGCTGTGCCTGGGTTCAGTACTTCTCTTCGGTAGTGTGTGAGCTGGGAGAAATATTCCAGGTTACTCGGGCTGCATGCACTTAGGGCAAACTTCCGTAAGTGCCCTGTAAGTACCGCCCTAGGGGCTTGGGGTTACCTTTCACAAGTCACCTTGGGTCTACCTCTGATGGTCTTTCACTGCTTCGCGATGGACCGCCCTGAGTGTTGGGGGATGCCTCCCTAGTTTGCCTTGGGGTAAGTGGTAGTTTTTGCACTGGTAGCAGCGTAGGGTACTGCGTTGCTAGTGTTCACCTATAACAGCTGCCGGTTCTGTTCCCTCTGGGTATGTTGTCCTCTTGCAAGGTTTTTCTTTTCTTTTTGTTTTTGCCTGGCAGTGGGGGGGGTCTGCCTTGGTTTCCCTTTCCCATTATATTAGGGTTGTTTGTGTTTGGTGGTACTCCCCTGCTTCGCCCTCGTGAGTGGACACGTCCCGAGGGTTCAGCTTTAGCAGTGTTGATTGGTAGTTTGGGCATTGGATAGCAGTACCCTGCCTGGGATACCCTTAGCAGACCCAGTCTAGGGGCCCTGGAAAACCCCGTGGGGCGCTCGGGTCCAATGGATGAGTGACTCCTGAGTCTCCTCTCGCATTTTGCGAGTTTGAGGGTTGCTTTGTCCCCTTGTCTCAGGGTGACGCTCATTGTTTTTGCCTCCGTCATGCTGCCTGTTGGGTCGGTGACACATTCGACCCAGAGTCCCGTGAGCTTTGATACTTGTATGTGACTCAGTTCACCCACTTGATGATGATATTATTCGGGTGCAGGCAGCTCGCACAATGCAGGACAGGTTTAGGTTGGTGCAATGCGCTAGGTTCGTTGCTTCCCCGGATGCCCCGAGGCTGCCCCATTTTTTTATAGGGACCCAGACTTGGGGGTGTTGGTTGCTTCGGCCTTGGTTCCGTCCGCGCCCCCTCGTTCTTCCCCTGCTGTGGTTCATTCGGTCCCTCCCCCTCTTCCTGCTTTTGGCTCCTAAGCATCTGAGGGCTTCGGGGTCGGGGCAGGGCTTAGAGGTTTCTGAGACTGGCAGTTTCGGGGGTTGCCCCTTCCTGGGTGGTTGCGGAGGCATTTGAGTCAGTTCCTCCAGCCGTAGCTCCGAGGTCTGACCAGTGGGTCCATCCTCTTCCTGCTATTCCAGCTGCCCTAGCTTTTCCTTGTGAGGCCGGGGCTTTGGAGGACGACTCAGCCCCGGGGCCTGACGTGGAGGTTCCCGGTGTTGGGGAGGAGCTGACTTGGGGTCTTTGGCTCCTTTTGACCCCGTCTGGGTTTTCCGACCCTCCGAGCGGGGCTTGCTGTTACAAGGAGTGGGGTTTTCCTTCCCCCCTCTGCGTACGATTTGGATTTGCGTTCGGCTCCTCTCCCATGTTCAGTTCTGTATCCCTGCAGGTCCTTCGGTTCCGCCCTTCCGGAGGTTTTTGGCTTCCCGCATCTCTCCACCTGAGGTGCGAGCGGCCATTGCGGCTTACCTCCTGCGCGACCCAGATTATGCCTCTATAATGAATCCGTCTTCCTTTACGTTTGGGTCTTCGTCTCCATACTGGGTTTGTTATGAGGTTCCGGAGTCGTCCTGGCTAGCAGACTGCCCTTTGTTTTTGCTGGATGCGTGGGATACCTTCTGTCATAACCGCACGCTGGAGTGGCGCGAGGCGTTGACTGTGGTCCAGGTTTACCGGGGGGGGGGGTGACTTTGCGCACCTTAATGTGTGCCTTTTCGCTCCGGTTCAGGATGTTGGCGCAGTTCAGCTTCACGTACAGGTTTCCTCCTTGTTGGCAGCGCTTGTGGCTGAGGACTTGCGCACACAGGGCTCATTGGCTTCGGTCCTGCGCTTCTTTTCCCTCATTCAGCTATCTTCAGATTGGCTTACAGAGGATGTAGAAGCACTTGAGGCATTCCTGGGTCTAGCGCCTTGGTCTAGGCTGTTTGTGCGTCATCTGCCCTTTTGAAGCTGTTTGCGCCAATCCTGTGGGACGCACTGTTGCAGGTTTGTGCTGCGCGCCTCGTGTGACAGCAGGTGGTGATCACTTCCTCCTTGGAATCCACTTGGGCCCTGGCTCTTAGATTGTCTTCGCCATTTTGTCCTTTGCTGTTTGCTGCTTCTGCGGTTAAACAGTATATGCAGGCGGCTTCTTCTAGCTGCCACCTGATGCCAGACCTTTTGGTTCTCCGGGGGTCCAGGGTGGGTTCCTCCCGAAGGGGTCGAGCCATGGCCAGTGGTTCCACCCATTAAGATGGGCCACAGGTGCGATGGGTTCCTCCCGAAGGGCTCGTGCCAGGGCCCGCGGTTCCGCCCGTCGAGGTGGGTCCTGGCTGCGTCTGGTCAGTGAGGTGCTCCCTCTGTGCGCAGGTCAAGTTTTCGTAAGGGGCATCTGCCCTTTCGCGGTACGCCCCATTGACGGGGCAATGGGTGGGAGGCTTCCTCTGTTCTCTCATGCCTGGTCCCACGATTTGTGGGGTTTTCGGGTCGTTTCTCGCGGTCTGTGGTGGCTCCTCCTCTTTCAGGAGGTTCAGGGCTGGCAGGGCAGGCCTCTTCTTCTGAACTCTGTTGGGTCATCTTAGAGTGGGTGCGTTTGGGCGTGGTCGAAACGACGATGATCCTCAGATGGGTTTCCTGCCTGTTTCCAGCTCTAAAACGGGACTGTGCGGACCTGCAGTTCATTCTGAGCTTGTCCCGTCTAAACCCCTGGGTTTTCTGTGGGTAGCCCCTATGGCTCCCTGGAGCTTATCGGGCTAATGTATGTTATATTTGACCAGGACATTAGCAATGGAGTTCAGACCTACCAGGAACCAGGGCCAGAACCTGGCCCCTTCAGAGAGGTTTCAGGACGCAATGGCCCTGGAAAACCCCGTTGTAGTTGGGGGTTTTCCTTATCTGCCATTGACTGGGGTTAGGCACCCAGAAATGTAGGCATAACAAAACAAACCCCATTGTAAAAACTAAAACAAAAACCGAACAGAGGTAGAGAACTCCCTACAGTCCCAAGGAAACAAGCAAACAAGCAATTATCACAATTTAATGCCGCGCCAGTTGTCCATGCAGCCCTCGCCTCCCCGAGAGAGGGCGGGAGGGCCCCGGACCTCACTGCGCCGGTGGCCTTCAGTTCGTAAGCTAGTGTCAACCGGGATAGATGCTTCTCTGGCCTCAAATTCCTGGGAGGTGTTTTGCCTTGTGTGGTGTTCTCTGCTGTTTTAGTGTGGTGTGTGGTGGCCAGGAGTACTTCGTCAGTGCCGGGGCTGCATGTACTTAGGGGCTTCCTTCCCTAAGCACCCTGTGAGTACTGCCCCTGCGTGACAGGGTTATCTTCCCTGGGGTGTTCGGGAACTGCTCCTGTAGGGGTTCTTGCTGCTCGGCATTTGCCTCGCCCTTGGGGCCAGCTGGGGCTTGGGGCCTTTGTTTAGTCTTGGGTCGGGAATGGTGTTGTGCTGGTTAGGGCATCAAGGTGTTGCGCAACTTGCCATTTAAGCGGCGACCGGTTCCTGTTGCCTCTGGGGACGGTGTACTTTTGCGGGGTTTTTCTTTTGTTTTATTTTTGTTTGTCTGGTGGGGGTTCTGCCACGTGGGCCTATAGTTCCCCCGATAGGAGGCCTATAATTCCCCTAGAAGGCTTGGTTGGCGACCGGGCCGCGGGGACGCTAAGCCCCGGAAGCACCTCAAGTTAACCACCTCAAGGATACTGTTTTGGTGGTCCTCTGCCAGGCCCCAGTGCTTGTACATGTCACGCGGGTTTCAGTGTCATCATCTACCCCTTGTTAGTTTGGGTTTTTTAACCGGTTAGCAACACCTTGCCCGGGATTCCCGTAGTTGTTACCCTACGGGCCCTGGAAACTCTTGTCGGGGCCTGGTGGACCCATGGATGCGTCTTCCGAGTTCCAGCCTGCCCTGTGCAGGTTTGAAAGTTGCTGTTTGCCCTTGTCTCAGGGTGACAGTCACCTGTTTTGCCTCAGTCATGCTGCCTGTTGGGTCAACAACACCTTTGACCCCGGAGTCTTGCGAATCGTGTTCTCTACCTGTGCTACAGTTTTATTCTGAGGAATGTTCCTGTTAGGATACAGGCAGTATCCGCGTTGCATGTTAGGTTTAGGTTACTACAACGCGCTAGGTTGGCTTCCCACCCGGATGCCCCGAGGCTGCCCTGTTTTGGTTTTAGGGACCCGGACCTGGGGGCGTTAGTCGCTTCAACTTTAACTCCTTCCGCACTCTCTGGTCCTTCCCCTGTGGTTCATCCTGCACCTCCCCCCCCCCCCCCTGTGCTCGGCTCCTAAACGTCTGAGAGTTTCGGATTCGGCACAGGATTTAGTTGGTAATGAGGTCCTGTCCTGGTCGATGGCAGATATAGAATGCTCCAAATCACATGTGCATTTCTATGGGCCATTGCTCCTCGTGCCTCTGTGAGGGGACCAGGTTCTGGCTCGTGGTCCCCGGTAGGCCTAGAACTCCACCCACATCGACTGATGCCAAGTTAGGGATATGCATATCAGCCTGGATAGCTCCAAGGAGTCTCCGGAACTCACCCAAAAAATGGAGTTTCATTACATTCAACGCTGGTTTTTTGGGCAGCTGGTTGTTTTTTTACCAGCTAGTTATTTGTTTTGGAAAGCCTATTTTTTCTGAGCTACTGCCCCGATTGATGGCAGAATATGAAAATAGCTTACATGTAGAGTGCTCATACCCCATTGCTCCCTGTGCCTCTCTGAGGGGGGCCAGGTTCTGGTTTGTGGTCTTCGGTAGGCAAAGAACTCCATGTGATTGATGACCCCCCACACTAATAAAGCACATATCAGTTTGGATACCTTCAGGGAGCCTCCGGAACTATCCCCAGAAAAGGGGGTTTCATTACATTCAACACTGGCTTTATTTTATATTTTTTTTTTTTTTGCATTCATCGGGAGGGTCTCATGTGAAGGCTGCACAGTACTGGGGGTTAATGAAAAACACCCCTGACTGTGTTACACAGTTTAAGGGTTAAAGGTGGTGTCTCTGGGTCTTGGTTTGACTGAGTCCCTTCATTTCCTTAAGATTTCCCTCCTCCATACTCACAGTTGGAAGGTGTTAGACAAGTAGGGTGGTATATGTAGGGTGATAGTAGAGGTATCGATGTGACTCATTGTCTTTGGGTTCAGTCTCTATCTCTTGAAGAAAGGTGAAGAAAGACTCTACCAAGAAAATATGATTTTCAAAATGTTGCCCATCATCAGACAGCATTATACTAGACATGTCATATTTTATATGAATAAAACAATAAATTTGTGTTTTCAGGATGATTTACGGAAAGATTGTCGATTAATGGAATTCAATAATTTTGCCAACCGATGTCTTTTGCGAGATCCAGAATCCAGGAAACGAGATCTTCATATCAGAACCTACGTAAGTTTTAACAGTACAGTAAATAACTACTGCAATGATTAATCTTGCATTTGAATGTTTGGGTGAAAACAACTGGTATTTGAATACAAGTTTTGATCTATTAAGTTTAAAAGCAAGTGGTAGGATGTGTTAGTTGTAATGAAGTGTTAAGTTGTTAATTTTAAAGGTTTAAATAATTTTAAAGTTGTTTAACCACTTAACTGCGCCAACCGAATATTCTCGGTCAGCGGGAAACTGCACCAACCGAGTATTCTCGGTCAGCGGGAAACTGCGCCAACCGAGAAAACTTTGATTTTTTGGTACCAATTCTAAATGTGTACAAGGTTGGTTGTGTACGAAATGGACTCTTAGGACCTCCAGTGAGAGGCAGCCATCTTGGAAAAAATTCCCAGAATGCCCTAGGGCTGCTGGCTGGGTTAATACTGAATAAGCAACTATGGGTGGCGCACGCGCCTCTGGCTCCCAAACACCTGTCCAAAGCAGTGTTGAAAGATAACGCTCTGTTGGTGAAATTCAAACCTTATTGTTTGAAGAACATAAAGGGTCATAATATTGGTGAAGCTAGGTGCAATAAGGACCTAACACAAAGGTCGGATGCAAGAGATAAAGCACCTATGAGGACGATACAGCGAGAGTATCCAGTTGTAGCTCTGAGCGTCACCCTTGCAATCCTATGCTATCTACAATTTATTTAGATGATACATAGATGAATCGTTTTCTGCGTTCAGTGATGATGCATCTGATACAAGTAGCATAGATGAACAGTGTTAGCAGCTTCCATGGTAGTGTTTTCCATAGATATTTTTAAGAATACCTGAATCTCTTCCTAACTGACGGACACTCTTTGAGGCAAGCTGAATCTCTTCCTGTGTGGGACCATACAAAGCGATCTTTTCAAGACTACCTTACAAATTGAGCTTTTCCTATAATCTTTTCAATACTACCTTATGCTTTACAACCTTGGCTACATACAACCTACAAGTACTAAAGCCAAGGGTGTACGTGAGTGTGTTATTTACAAGCACACAGAATGAAGAAACAGGAAGCGAAAATTTATCTGTACCAGGTGCACTGAAAGCGAAGTCACGCTGTGTACCATGGGCTACTTCGTTGAGTATTACTCACTTCCGAAGATCTGAATATGTAATCCAGTGTGTTACTGTGTAAATAGTGTGTGAAACTGTACATATTGTAATGTTAGTGAATTTTTAGTAGGTAATATTGCGACAATAAACATTTAATGTGGACACATTACTGACACATGTATCACAGTTCCAGGGAACATTATGAACGTTCTACTGTATACATATTGTAAAAGACACAAATATTCATCATATACAATAAAAAACAAATGAAACCGCATTGGAAATACATAAAGCAAATAATTGAAAATATATTTGTGGCAACACCCGGTGCTTGAATGGCCCGCGCGACCGTGTCTGGGCATGTCACCCACGGGCGACCAGGCCCTGATGACGTCACAGCGCACCTTGTTCACTTCCCCACAGCCAAAGTAAGTGGAATTTAGTATTTATTTTTACATAGACATGTTCAGGGAAGGCAATTTATCATTTTATGAAGAAAAAAGAATTTTTTGGGAACACTTTATTTCATGCGCACCAGGGGAATTTCACAATAAACTCGGCGCAGCATGGTGGTTAAATAAATTTAAATAAAAGTGGTTTTAAATAAAACAGCTAATGAAATGATACTTGTTTTGTCACATAATAACACAAAATAACTTATTACCTTTAAGAGATATTTGAAGTGTCAGGCACAAAACAAAGGCCATTCAGGGAAAAAACAATTTGATGAATGTAATGAAACACCTCCCAGCAAGCATTAGAAATATTGCTGGAACTAAGGTGGATGTATTCAAGAGGCACTTAGACACGTTCTTGCAAGAAATTTCTTGCAATAATGTGTCCTGGTTGGTTCTTGCACGAACATTCCTGGTTGGTCCCGCATGCGGGACCAACCAGGCTGTAGTGAATGTGTGGGCCTGCGGGCTGCTCCAAGCAACAGCCTGTTGGACCAAGTTATCACAAGTCATGCCTGGCCTCAGGCCAGGCTCGGGAAGTAGAGGAACACCCGAGATCCTCTCCAGGTATGATCCTGGTACTTCATTCTGGTAGAGCTGTGTTGGCACCTTGTGACTATCTTGCCGAGTTTGTTCCATACTGCAAAGTCACATCTGTCATGGAAGTTCTGTTTGGCCTACCAGAGACCAGAGCCAGAACCTGGCCCCCCTGTCACAGAGCAAATGGCCTGCGGGCTTTGCGAAAGTGAATTTTCTTATATTTATTCGGCATCTGTGTTTAGCTAGTTTAAATCTATGACCTCTTGTTCTTAAAGTTCCAGGTCTCAGGAAATCTTCCCTATCGATTTTATCAATTCCTGTTACTATTTTGTACGTAGTGATCATATCGCCTCTTTTTCTTCTGTCTTCCAGTTTTGGCATATTTAATGCCTTTAACCTCTCCTCGAAGCTCTTGCCCTTCAGTTCTGGGAGCCACTTAGTAGCATGTCTTTGCTCCTTTTCCAGTTTGTTGATGTGCTTCTTAAGATATGGGCACCACACAACCGCTGCATATTCTAGTTTTGGCCTAACAAAAGTTGTGAACAATTTCTTTAGTATATTGCCATCCATGTATTTAAATGCAATTCTGAAGTTAGAAAGTGTGGCATAGGCTCCTCGCACAACGTTCTTTATGTGGTCCTCGGGTGATAGTTTTCTATCTACAACCACCCCTAGATCTCTTTCTTTATCAGAATTCTTTAAAGATTTCTCACATAATATATAGGTTTTGTGGGGTCTATGTTCTCCTATTCCACATTCCATAACATGGCATTTATTAACATTAAATTCCATTTGCCAAGTGTTGCTCCATATACTTATTTTGTCCAGGTCATCTTGAAGGGCATGACAATCATCAAAGTTTCTTATCCTTATTATTATCTTAGCATCATCAGCAAATATGTTCATATAACTCTGTATACCAACTGGTAGATCATTTATGTAGACAATAAACATCACTGGTGCAAGAACTGAATCCTGTGGTACTCCACTTGTGACATTTCTCCAGTCCGATACATTGCCTCTGATCACTGCCCTCATTTTTCTTTGTCAGAAAATTTTTCATCCATGTTAGAAGCTTACCTGTCACCCCTGCAATATTTTCCAGTTTCCAGAACAACCTCTTATGTGGAACTCTGTCGAAAGCCTTTTTTAGGTCCAGAAAGATGCAGTCAACCCAACCATCTCTTTCCTGTAATATCTCTGTGGCTCGAACATAGAAACTGAGTAAATTCGATACACAGGATCTTCCAGATCGAAAACCATACTGTCTGTCTGATATTATATTATTTCTCTCCAGGTGTTCTATCCATTTAGTTTTGATTACTTTTTCCAATACTTTCACTATTACACTTGTCAATAATACAGGTCTATAATTGAGGGGGTCTTCCCTGCTGCCACTTTTGTAGATTAGAACTATGTTAGCCTGTTTCCACACGTCTGCTACGATTCCTGTACACAGGGATGCCTGAAAGATCTGGTGAAGTGGAATGCTGAGCTCAGATGCACATTCTTTCAGAACCCATGGTGAAACTCCATCTGGACCAACTGCTTTGTTCTTACTTAGCTCCTTTAGCATATTTTCCACTTCATCTCTAGGCACCTCTATACGCTCTATGTTGTTGTTCTCTGGAATTCTTATTGTGTCTGGTTCTCTGAAGATTTCATTTTGTACAAACACACTTTGGAACTTTTCATTTAATGTTTCACGCGTTTCCTTTTCATTTTCCGTGAATCTGTTTGCCATTTTCAACCTCTGGATATTATCCTTTACCTGCAATGTGTTGTTTATGAATTTGTAGAATAGGCCCGGTTCTGTTTTACATTCATCCGCTATCCCTTTTTCAAAATTTCTTTCTGCCTCTCTCCTTACTGTCGTATAGTTGTTTCTCGCATCTTTGTATCGCTGGTATGTTTGGGGGTTTGGCCTCTTCCTATACTGATTCCATTTTTGTCTTTTGGTCTCTGGCCCTCTCACAATTTCTGTTGAACCAATCCTGTTTTCTGGCCCTGCATCTCTGTTTTGGTATGAATGTTTGTGTGCCTTCCTCGTTTATTTTGCAAAATTTGGCATACATTTCATTTACTTCCCTGCCTAGCAACAAGTCTGTCCAATTACACTCATTAAAAAAATTTTGAAGTTCGCCATAGTGACCTCTCCTTAAATCGAGTTTATCAACTGTTTCAATGTCCCCATTTTCTTCTAGATGATATCTTAAAGCATAATCAATATCTAACAGGATGTGATCACTCTTTCCCAAGGGAGGAAGGTACTGGATATCAAATATTTCTTCTTCTTTCCTGGTGAATACTAGATCCAGTACTGATGGTACATCACCTTCCCTCATTCTTGTGGCCTGCTTTATGTGTTGATACAAGAATGTCTCCAGAATGAGGTTCACAAATCTGCATGTCCAAAAGTCCTCCGTTCTTGCTTCATAGGCCTCCCAGTCTATTGCTTTAAAGTTGAAGTTCCCCAGTATCAACAGTCATGATTTATCTTTATCTGCTTGTACAATAATATCTCTCATGACCATTATGAGGCCCTCTCGTTTGTCATCCAGTTCTTCCTTTGTCCATGTGTTGCTTGCTGGTGGGCTGTAGGCATTTACAATTATCAGCTTATCATTCTGATTCCAGATCTGCAATGCCATTATGTCAATATCTCGAGGGTTTTCAAATATTAACTCTCTTACCTTCAGGTGTTTTTTCACCAGTACAGCCACTCCTCCCCCTTCCTAGTTTTCCTGTCACATCTCCAAACTGAATAGCCTCTTGGGAATATGACTTCATTTAATATATTTCCTTCAAGTTTCGTCTCTGATAATGCGACAATATGTGGGACCCTAAGTTGAATTATATCTTGCAATTCCAAAGTTTTTGACCTCACTCCATCAATGTTGGTACAATGGGGCCTCGACTT